CCATACGATAAACACAGGAACACCCTGGTGCAGGCCAGCATCGGTATGAGTCAGGTTCATGGCGTTCAGAAAATGAAGACACTGCAGGATCTGGGAAGCAATCGTCCTGATGTCTCCTGGAAGTGCTGCTGACACCAGGGAAGGCTCATCTTTCGTGCGTCGACGAACAACACTGAAAACCAAGACGGAAACGACATAGGGCGACGGATATGGCAGTGCTGCAACATGGTTTTGTGCTTCTGTCTAGGCCTGTGCAGCGAAGCAAGCGCTCACATCATCTTCATGATCATATCTATACCGGACTTCGGACTCAAGAAAGAAAAGTCCCTCGTCATTAACTTCCCGGATCAAAAGAAGGCCTCGACTGCCCCGCCCTCGGCTACGAAACACTCTTCAACCCTTGAAGCCGATTAAGACCTACAGATGCACCCTGAGCCCAAGCAGCCAAGAGGCTCAGCATCAGCCCCTCGTCACCGGTTTCTCCTAAGCTCTCCCGAATCCTTCCTCTCCAAATCTCATGAATTCGTCTACGAAGGAAATCGCGAAGCCGGCCGAAGCCGCTGCGCTCTGAGAAATCCCTTGGACTCCTAGAGCTCGGCACATTAGTAGAGGCAAGAAAAGGGAGCGGAATCTTCGCTAGGATGGTGGCTTCTCTTCGCAGTATCCGCTGAAGACTGGCTGGGCTTAGGAATTTCTTCGATGTTTCTGATGTTCTTCAGCCTGGTGCCTAGCAGCATAAGCGCTTCGTTGCGAAACTAGCCATCGTCTGCTACACCCTGGGCTGCGCTGAGCAAGGATCGCATGAAGTCGCTGAGGCTCTTGTCCAGCAGTTCCTCAGTAGGCACCGATCTTCGAATCTTCGAGGTTGGGCCTATGCCATTGCCTCATGTATGTTTATCGGAGTTTATCGTTCATGTGGACTGTCTTCCTGCGTTATGACCGTTTCTACACATGTGTAGACAAGCTTAAAAAGGCGATGCAGGGATGGATACTTCTGTGTCCGAGCTGGGGAGGCCTTGTAGCTTGTAGTAGCTTGTTCGGACTGCAATTTAGTCAAAGGCTTGCGTGCCCTTCCTTGAAGAAGTTTCAACGTCATACGGATCGGCAACGCTGCGACAGTCAGAAGCAATTTCGGGATGGGGTTTCGGGCTCGAGTTTAGATCCTCCGCAAGAGATTGGCAACTCAAGTTCGATGCATCTGATTCCCCTTCCACAGCCACGAAGTAAGTACCTCTCCAACTCACAACAAAATCCTGGATTGGTGGCTCACTTGGGGGCGGGCCAGGGGAAACGAAAGCTAGCCGAGGCTGGAGGGACGGCAAGCGATACAGAGCTGGCTGGGCGGGCTCCAAGCATCATCACATCCAGCCACATCAGCCACGGAAGGCAAACAGAGCTGACGAAGCGGACAATCAGCAACGGAGAGGAAACAAAGCTGGCGAGGCGGGCTCCAGGCATTCTCACAATACAACCAGAACCGCATCAGTAACGTGGGGGAACAGAGATGGCATCATCACCAGCCAGCGACATCAACAGTTCAGCAGCAGGGGCAGGGGGAGAAGAAGAAGGGGCCTGCTTTGATCGATATATCAAGTCTTTTGCTTCTGGGCCGGCAGTCCCGGGCCCTCTGGTCATGCAGATAGAAACGAAAGTCTCGCTACGCTAGCTTTCGTGATCTGCCGTTATCGGCTCTGCCGCCAAGCAGCGAACACGAGGCAGCAGTGATTCAGGTTATGGGTAAACTCACCCAGCAGCTTGACACAGTAGCTCTGTCGGCCCGGATCACCTGGGCGTCTCAAAACTCACTTCCTCGCGGATGGAGAGTCCACCTAGCCTGGCAATTACATTGTGCCAGGTCGTAACTTCCAGTCCAAACCCTTCGAATCCACCACAACCCAAAGCAAAACAAGTCCTGAGACCCGTTCTGCGTCAAGAGCCTCTACGAATCCAAGAACTAGAACCCCACCAGCCCCAACCTACCTGCACCCCAAAGATCGATTCCTGCCATGCTGTCATGGTGCTTGTCGCTGACATTGCTGTAATGGTGGATTTTTCTGAAAAATTTAGAACCTCCTGAGCATAACGGGAAAACCGTGTCAAATTCGCCCTGTGCAAGACACATCTCCGTATCTCCCGCAAGAGCTCTGCTTCCGCATGCGCGTGCTCCTTGTAACGGGCCACGCCTGCTCGAGGCGCTTGCACCGCAGCTGGGTAGGCATTCCGTAATTCCACGCAATGTACTTCAAGCTATCCATGGGCCCTAAAGTAGTTCCTTTTTGGGGTTCATATATAGAATCCTATTTGGTAATCCCAAAACGGAACTACTATGGGGCCTATGGGTACTATCCCCTGCCAATAGCGACCACCAGCACCACGGCGAACTATTTGGACAGGTGTTCGGGCTTGGGAACCCACAAGCTCTTGACTCCATTCCACCACTTTGTGCTCCACGACCTGCAACCCTTAACACGTAACACTCCCAAGGACCAAAAGCGTAAACCTGAACGCTTCAAGAAGATAAGATCTGGACATGATTGAATGTCGAAGTCCCCACAGGGCCCACAGCACGGGGCTTACCAGTCTCGACTCTCACGGATGCAGTAGGATGTCAGGGTATGATGCTGGATGGCCGAAGACGTTGGCATGAGCAGCGAGATGTTCGAAAAGCTACATGAACAGAAACTCCGCGAAAACATGCTAGGTACAAGATATAAACTTCAACCCCCTTGTCCCGTAGAGTCCCTTTTTGGAAACACCCCAGCTGCCTTTCACCACCTTCACAGCCACCATCTGCTTGGAGGTCTCCTCCAAGCAAGCCAGGACCCGGCCGAAGGAGCCCTCGCCCACCTCGTGGCTCTTGGTATTCTAAAGACACTCGTCGGGTCCTAGAGAGGTTTAGGACTAGGATGTTTTGGGGTTGCAAAAGTGCCGTACCGGACTTTTTTTGGCACTCGCACTCGACAAAGCAGGCGAGGGTTGGTGAGGTCACACATTTCGACCACCTTACACCACACCCCAACATTCACCACTCCTCGTAAGCCAATCGACTAGGTCAAGCTCCACAGTACGAGTTATACCAGGAGACCATGACCTGCCTAAGGATGTCAGACTGCGCCTTCCTCTTCTTGTTACATAAGTCACTCACATGCCAATAACAACGAACGCACTGACATTCCCAGGCAGAGCGACACTCAGCA